GCCTGTCACTGTCCCCAGGGCCTCCAGCCTGTGGTGATCCAGTCCCTGACAAACAGATTCCAGAGGGATTTGGGTACTTGTGGTCTCTTTGTAGGCTCCACTGTGGGATGAAGCTCCAGTGGGCTTGCAGAGCTTTGATGTTTGGGATTTTGAGACCCTTCTGGGTCAGCTGTCCTGGATGCAGCTGGTCCCTCCCCATCCTTGCCCGGGGACATGCTGGTGTGCTCTGCAGCCTGGGCAAACAGAGCTGCCCCCTCCAGCCTGCCACATTTAGCTCTATTCTCACACCCCCAGGTCATTGCACTGTTCCAGTCCAGTGTTGCTGCTCCTCTCGCTGCTCCTGACCCTGCATCCCTCTGGGAATGCCACTAGGGCAGCCCCTTGCCCCACCCGTGGAGGTGCCACCCCAGCCTCCCCTGCACACGGCAGAGCTGGCTCAGCACCCCCACATTCCCGGGATGGTTGCTGTCAGTTCTGGGGGGGCTTGTAGGATTTTCCTTAGTGACACCTCCCTGGGATTGCACAGACACAGTCCCCACATCGCTGTATGGGCACCTCTGCTGCAGTTCCTTGCACTTCCTCTCCTGGCAGGGTCTGGAGTTGAGAGGTGTAGGTGAGCCTGCTTGCTCCTTGTAGTAACACCGCATTCCAGGGCCTGAGTAAACTCTGGGTTTCCTTTCCAGCATCCCGAGTACCCTGATTCAGTTCTCGTGGCTGCTGACAGCTCCTGAACACTAGCCTAGATTTTCTCCCAGAGCTGAATGTTGCCCTCCCCACTGTCGTGTTAAGTACCCATTTCATCTTGGCCCTGTCCAGTAGTGTTCATCCCCTCCTCCCTGCTCTGTGGATTCCTGAGACAAACTTGATTTTTTTTTGTATTGACCAGTGTACAGTGATGGAAACAAGAATGACTATCAAAGCAAACAATGCATGGAATAAAAAGCCAGTGTACTTCAATGCTGCAGGCTGGTCTGGTGATCTGGGAATGGGTTCTCATGGACTCTGGGATGATGTCATGAAACCTTGCTCTGGGCTCTCCCATCTGCCCCTTTCCATACCTGGAAGGTTACTTTATCCTCCAAGTGGATCTCCTCATGGAGAGCAAATACCAAAACCCCAAGAGCAGAGCATCATCCTGGGGGAGGAGGGTGCTGAGGCCCTGGCACAGAGTGCCCAGAGAAGCTGTGGTTGCCTCTGGATCCCTGAAAGTGTCCCAGACCAGGTTGGATGGGGCTTGGAGCAACTTGGGATAGTGGAAGTGTCCCTGCCCATGACGGGGTGAAACAGGATGGACTTTAGGATCCCTTCCAACCCAAACCATTTCTGGTATCCTATGTTCCCCACAACTGGGACAGAACCCAACTCTATTTGGAATCCTCCTAGTTATACAGGAGCAAATGTGTGGTTTTCAAGGTGCTTTTCAAGGACAAATGTCTGCCAGTCAGGCACATCAATTCCTATTCTTTTCCCCTTTATTCTTTATGGGGAGTAGCAGCCACTGGCAGACCAGAGAAGCTGTCTCAAGTGCTCTGACATGACTGATTCAGGCAGCTCAAATCCTGAGCATTTTGCTGCAGAGTGTGCTGGTTTAACATGGGAATCAAAGAAGAATTTTCTACAGCTGCACCCTGAAACACCATTATTTTCTCAACTTGGTGCTTGTACAGCTGCACTGGAGCACAGGAGCACATGGCTCATCATTTAAGGCCAAAAATGCTAAATCTGTCTGGAGTTGGAGGGAGCAGGGCCTGCCTGCTGCCCGCAGGGTTGTGCTTGGCCAGTGATCCACAGCTGGGTTCTGGTTTGCCTTCCTCACAGGATGCCAATACTCTTCCTTTTATTCCCCACAGCCTCAGGCACACAGGAGACTGATTTAAATGAAACAGGCAAATTAACTGAGTGTTCACAAAGCCCCTCTATCTCTCTCTCAGTGCAGGTACATGCACAGATAAACATTCATTAAAAATAAGAACGGACACCTCCTCTGAGATGAGAAGGATGATTAAAAATTGCCACTGTCCTTGGTGACACAGAGCATGCAGAATGTAACCCCTGGGAAGAGAGTCCTGCAGCTTTTACCCCAAAACTGGGGCACCTAAGCCATCACAAGCTCTTTCTGCCATTTAGTGTCTGAGATTGCTTGTTGCCATCCAGCTTCAGGTGTTTCTTGCTATATCTCTTGATGAGGGTCCCTGGAATCAGTGCAACCACAGCCATGGCCAGCAGCTTGAGCAGTGTGTCCCAGGAGAAGATGGCATCCAGAGAGGTGATTTGGGACAGAATGGCCCCTGTCTGCACACAGATGAAATTATATGGTGTAAGGCCTGAAGGAATCAGAGCAGAAAAAAGCTGTTAGTTTCCCCCTAGAGAAAACCAGCTAAATACGCCCAAAGCCAGACACAGAAATCACAGAATTGTTAGGGTTGGAAGGACCACTGGAGATCATCCAGTGCAAGCCCTCCTGCTAAGGCAGGGTTACCCAGAGCAGGTGACACAGGAACGTGTCCAGGGGAATTTAGAATGTTTCTAGAGAAGGAGACTCCATGCCCTCCCAGGACAGCTGTTCCAGTGCTCTGCCACCCTCCATGGAAAGTTCTGCCTCATGCTGAGGTGGAACTCACTGTTTTAATTTACAGCTATTACACAAACACAGGGGTTTGTGCTTGTAACAGAAAGAACCAAGTGTAAAGCAAAATTTGCATCACTGGGGACACCTACAGAATGCTCAAGGGCAGCACAGAGGAAACAGACCAAGGGTCAGAGTCCCAGCTCTGCCCTCCTTGGCTCAGTGATACCAAAAGCAGCAGTGTCACACTGTCCCCTCAGGTCCTGTCCCCAGGCCTTACCAATGAGAACTGAGAGAAAGAACTGGGACATGGGGATGTTTAAAATGGGAGCTGAGAGGTTCAGAAACCAGTTTGGTGTCATGGGGAACAGCCTCAGGAACAACAAGAAGAAAAATAAGCAGCTCCTGTTCTCTTCTACCTGCCAAAAGAAATGTTCCATATCATTCCCGCTCCTCAAACAGCAGTAACATTCAAATGGCCATGATACTGGAGTGAATTTTTCTTCTAACATGCCACAGTGTAACATCAGTTCAGAATTGAGGGAAAGCAGCAATATTGTGTATGTATGGGAGACTAATGGTGAGCCAGCCCTCTTCAAAGAAGGGACGGAAGTGGGACCTCCAAAGATCAGGAAGTCGAGAGCAGAACCACCTCCATTGTACAACACAGCATGGGATGGATGGAGGCAGTTCTGGAGCACAGGGGCTTCCCAAACCCTCCTTTTTTTCATATCTGCTTTTCCTTAGGATCTAGGATTTTCCTGGCAGCCCCTCTACCAACAGACTTGCTCCAAGAGAGCAGCCTCCTCCTAGCCTGTGCCCTCAGCAGGCCTGGAGCATCCCCTGCACACACTCGTTTTCACTGTCACCCCAAGAGCAGCCTGGCCCAGGGCCATCGTGGGTGTCAGCAGAACTGCCAGTTCTTACCTTCCCTTGCAGCAGAGCCACCTTCTCAGGGAAGAAGTGGACTATGAGCTGCTTGCCAAAAGCTGCAGAGAGCAGGTAGCAGAGGGTGGCTCCCACAGACGTGAGCACTGAGCACAGCACCAGCCCCATCCATGGTCCAAAGAGTGCTCCAGCCAGGACATTCTATGGAGACAACATGGAGTGAGGCCTGAGGGACACAGTCTGTCACAGAACCACAGAACTGTTAGGGCTGGAAAAAGCCTCTGGAAATTATCCAGTCCAAATGCCCTGCCAAGGCAGGGTCACCCAGAGCAGGCGACACAGGAACAGGTGAGTTTGGGATGTCTCCAGAGAAGACTTTGCCCTCCCTTGGGCAGCTGTTCACCGTGCTCTCCCATTCTCCATGGAAAGAAGTTCTTCCTCATATTGAGGTGAAACTTCTTGTGTTTTACTTTATGGCCACTGCTCCTTGTCCCATTGCTGGGCACCACTGAACAGAGTCTGGCACCATCCTCTGACACCCCTTGGAGATATTTACATGCATTAATGAGATCCCCTCTCAGTATTCTCCAGACTAACCATCTCTCATCAGAGAGATGCTCCAGCTGCACCTCTCTGTGGCCTCTGCTGGACCCTCTCCTCCTTGTCTCTCTTTTCCTGAGGAGCCCAGATCCGGACTGGCTCTCCAGCCGTGCCTCACAGGGCTGAGCTGAGGGGCAGGGTCACTCCCTGGCCGGCTGCCGACGCTCTTCCCGCTGCTCTCCGGGGTCCCTCTGACCCTGCCGGCCCTCGGGGCACATTACCCACCAACACTTCCCGATCCTTCCCAGCAGAGCCGCTCTCCGGCAGCTCAGCCCCGACCCGTACTGCTGCTAAGGGTTATTCTGCTGATCTGCGGGCCCGGTCGGGTCCGTGCGGCTCCTCCTGCCCGATCCGTGAGTCCCGGCCCCGCGCCCCCGCCCCCGCCCCGTACCAGGAGGCTGGAGCCGGGAATGGCGAAACTCTGCTTGTACAGGTACGCGCCGCAGAACAGGGCCAGCGCCGCGCCCCGGTGCTGTCGCTCGTAGTCCCGCAGCGCCTCGGCCAGATCCCGCAGCTCCTCCAGGTCCGCCGGGAACCGCAGCGCCCTGCGAGGGGAGAAACGCGCGGGCAGCGGCGGGGAAGGAGGGACAGGCGGGCAGCGCCGGCCGCCCACACCCACACACCCACCTGCGCGTCTGCCCCGCGCTCAGCCGCACCGACAGCAGCCACAGCGCGGCCGTGGCGGCCGCGAAGACGAGCAGAAGCCCAGCCGGGCGCCGCCACATCCCGGGTCGGGAACGCCGCCGCCGGACCGAGCCGAGCCGAGCCGAGCGAACCCGGCCCCTCCCGGCCCGGCCCTGCCGCCCTCCGCGCCCCGAGCCGGGAGCGCAGGCGCGGGGCGGGGCCGTGATGGCGGGCGTGGGCCCGAGCGGGCGGCGGGCGTTGGTACGGCTTGCTGGCGCCTGCTGCTCGTGAGGGCTCCGAGCCCGCTCCGCCGCCGACACACGCCTTAAACCCCCGCTTGGAACCGTCGCTTTAAACCCCCCTTGTAAAGACACGTTTAAAGTGATGTGCCGCCATGGTTTTATTGCCACCCCCCAGCCCGGTCCCCGCGGAAGGCGCCGGGCCCGCCCGCTCTGTCCCCACACGGCGGGGAAATGTCTCTGCCCCGTCCGGGCGCAGCGGCCTCGGGACTCGGCTCCTTCTTCAGCACGGGATGGGCTTGAAGGTTTTCTGGGTGTTCTCAGTCAGGACCAGGTCGTATCGGCACAGCTGGGGTCTGTATGAAAACACGGCCAAAAGTGAAAAAGCGGCGCTTTATTCCTGTCAATTCCTCACCTGCTGGAGGCCTACATAAAATAAATCATCCTCTCAGATGAGAAGAGAACTGGCTCCAAGTCCACCTGAAGTGAGGTTGGCTTTAAGCCAGGGCTATGTTGAGCATTTTTCTATTCTGTTCTACATTATCTTTTTTCTTGTGGAAAAAAAGGATCTCAAAAAATCCAGCAAACAAACAGGCACTGGCTGCAGAGTCTATGGTTCCCTTTAAGCCAGTCCACACCTGTGTCCACCAGACAAGGTGGTCCTCCCAGCCCACCTGCCTGTTCCTGCCCCTTCCCTGCTCCAGGCATAAGAAATTCTGCCACTGCTCTGACCTGGGTCCAAACACAGATCTGGTCTGGAGCTAGTTCAGCCAAAAAAACTGAGGAAATACTTGGGCTTTCACTGGGGAAATACGAACATTAGCCCTGTGTAGTGGGTTGAGCAACAGGGAACGGGAGAGAGCAGGACATCCCTCCCTGTGGCAATGACTGATTAGATGATGTGTTCAAAGTCCTGAACTGTGTTTATGGCCTGTGGCAGCCCCTCATCGGGGAGAGACAGCATCCTGTGATTAAATATTAGGGCATTTGTGTCTGCTTTTTAAAGGACTAAATGGAAGTAACTGTGGAGGTATGGGACGAGACGGAGTGGCAGCAAGGGAGAGCTGCACTGGGACAGGAGACAGGGAGTGGTAGCAAGGGAGAGCTGCAGGACCTTGTTAGTAGATATACACACTCTTTCCCTTGTTCCAAGGCTAGGGTAAGGGTAGCAGACCTCATGAAATGCAAAGAAGCATGTTCTGCAGCTCTCTATGTCTGTTTGCTTCACCCTCCTGACCCTGTGATCCTCCAGCCTTGTTTTAAGCCAAACTCAAAGCATGGTGTGGTGTCCACAGTGTCCTTGCACACAAGGTCAGTGTAAGAGATTCTGTGCTTGCTGAGCTCAGGCAGAGCTCCCAACCTCCAGAGGTGGGAAGCTTAAGGGTAGGACAGCAGAGCAGACAGAGGCTAATGAGGTTAATCTCATCAGCAATGTCTTGAGAGGTACCCCCTGATGTTGTGGGTACCAGCCAGGGCTTTGGGGCAAAGCAGCCAGCAGCTCCCACTTGCTAAAATTCCAGGAGTAAATTAATCTCCTTGCTTCACTAGCCATACAAATTGACTGGAATATAAAATGTGTATTTGGGGCTGAACATCTGTTCTTCCCGGAGTGCTGCATTTCCCTTCATCCTAGAGTTCAGGCCTGGACAGCTTCCCAAAGGTTATTTTCCTGACCAAAGGTTAAGGTGTCAGGCCACGTCAGAGTCACATCACATGTGACATGTTCCCAGTGCAGCCTCTGTGTTCGAGTTAGTATTCAGCTATGGGATTCCATTGAAGAGGAATTTATTCCCAAGATATGTGTATGGGAATTACTAAATGTAAAGTAAATCTAATTCTTCTGCACATACTCAACCAGGCCAGGAATCTGGGAGATTACTTCTGTCCAGTCTGCACCAACAGAAATGGTTTGTTTGTCAACATCTGCTCACCTTTCTGGGTTTGTCAGTGAGTGGAACCTCATTTGGAGAATCCTGAGTTTGAATTTTGGACCAATGACAGATCCCGTGGAAAATGTCAAGGAAATTCTTTCCACATTTTCAAGATCCTGGTCAAACCCAATGAGCAAAGTGATTTGTTTGTACTGCTGGAAGGTGGCAGCTTCTCTAAAGGTAAAGCAGACAAGAGAGAGTGTCAGAGAGTCACCAAGGGAGTAGCACTGGGTTTAATGCAGTCACTGTAATATTACAAACAGGCGGGGGGAGGAGGCCTGAGCTTGTGATTAGTTTCTGATTTACAGGAAATGGGTATGGATTCAGGTCTCCAGGTGTCAACCTGCTCAGCCACTTCTGCCCTCACTTTTTTGGGGTGGAAGTGGGGACACAGAGATTGGATGCCATTTGGTCCCAAACAGAATTTTCACTGTGATTATGCTTTTATCCCAAGTGGACTAGACCCATGTGATATTTGTACCTGGCTGTCTGTGCAGGCCTGAACACTGAGTCATTTTGAGATATGCATGAAATCTGCACTGGCCTTGGTGTGGGATGATGTTGATTGCTCCAGTGCAAGCAGATCCCAGATATGCCTGAGGGAATATGCACTTAGAGAAACTTGGAAAAACTAGTTGTGCTGGTGTGTTTGGCTGAAGTGTAGTTCAGATCAATCAGGAATTTGCATGTCACATAAACACGATTAATTTTTCTCTCTGAGTGGGATGAATTGATTTTGGATGTGACATATTCAAGCCCAGGTTAATCCCCAGCTGTCCTGGGCACTGGGAACTAGAACAGAACACTCCCTGTGAAAGGAAGGAAAGAGGGGGAGATGTTTTTCCTTCTGCTTTAGCAGAAGCCTAGGGCAGCTGTGCTGCTGGCTGAGATTGTCCACTTCAGTCCTTAAGATGACAGAGAAGGGCCCAAACCAAAAGGCTGGGCTGTCAGGGCTGTGTGCTGGGGGAGGCTGTGGAAATCCCTTAGGGCCAATAAATCCCATGTGCATGAGCAAGCAGAGAAATCAGGAGAGGATGTGTCACCTCCTCCCAGATGCAGTTGTACCAAGGGATGCACTAACACTTAGAAAAGCTCAGACCAGTAAGACTTACGGATTAACTTTTGATTCTGCCTTCCTCCCATCTTCATCAGCTAGCATGATGCTGAGGGTGCCTCTCCTGGTGTTTTTGTTCCATGTGACAATATCCACCAAGTAGTGATAGACTGATGGGAAAAAGAGTGAGTGGGGTTAGACCCTGTGGGCTCAATCTGCTGTCCAGGCTGTGCACTGTCTGGGAGCAGAGCTGTGGGTAGAGGATGGACAGTTTGTCTTGAAAATCCCTCTCTCCTCCCTGCTCTCCATCTCCCTTTGCAGAGATTTCAACCAGAAACATTGGGAGGTGTCAGGAGAGCACTGCAGCAAGGGTTATCCATGCAGGATGGCCTCTCTGTATGGTTCCCAGCACACTGCCTTTCACTGCCTGCCTTCCCCCTTCACTCCCAGATTGTATTTCTTTCTTCAGTTCTCCTCTGAACCTCTCCATTTCTGTTCTTCATATCTGTCATCTGTCATCTCTGTCACAGAGCAGAATTCCCTGTTCTTTCATCTGAGTCTGAATTCACTTGCTGACCAGCATTGGAGCTCAGGCCATAATCCCAGCCCATGCCATACCCTGTTTTGTTGGTAATCACAGGGATGAGATGAAACTTTTCACCTTGGTGAAACCCTTTTTTCCACAGATTCTCTTCCTCTCCCTGTGCCTCTCACTTTTCTCCAGGGTAGCCTTTTCACCTGCACAGCCTGTCTTTCTCTCTTATCATTCCCACACACCTCTTACTTTCACAAAAGAACAGTGTGTTGCTTTGAAACGTGATTTGGGAATTTTTATACTTAATTTGAAAGTTCTCAACCAATTTCCTAGAACTGTAAGCAAGTTGGCTTTCCCAGCACTAGACAAGTTGACAGTTTAAGAAGGTTATGGCAAACTACAGATGGACATAATTCCATCCAGCAGCCACTGGAGTTTCTAAAATTCTGGTTATAACACCACCAGTAAATAACTATCTCTGCTGGGCTGCAACGCACAAAGAAAAATAATCCCAGAAATTTCAGTAACTCACTGCAAAATGGCTCTTTGTCCGCTGTGTCGAAAAACATACTTGTCACTGGATGGCTCTGTTGTGTTAAAGAGCTTTTCCACTCATAGGCATAATAACCTGCAGGTGAGAGTTTGAAAATGAAACCAAGTTGCTGTGCAGGTAGATGAGCCACCAAATGGCTAAAAAGAAGCAAGCATTTAAGAAATAGTGCATTGTGTGCCAGCTGCCAAGTAGCACTGACACACATCCTCCTGTACTCCAAAGGCTTAGGACTGAATATGCCTGGTTACTGTTCAGCACTTTCTTCAAGCTGGTCTTTTTCCACATCTGCTATCCATGCTCAAGGGTTTCATTCTGCAGTGCAGAATGTAAATCATCCCATTGGCTTTGCCAGTTCCTTTCTGGAAGTGTCAGATGTTTCAGCATCAACATTTCAGAGCTGCCAGCCCAAGGCTGGGCTCTCACACCCAGGCTGGGGCAGACAAGTCCAGAATTCCCTTTGTTCACCCATTTGCCATTCCTTTTAGAGCACAGAGGGATTTGTAGTGCTGGGAATTTACTTGTAAATTTTATTTTAGCAAGAACAGACCCCTGTCCCTCAAACTCTGCAAGTGAGGGACTTTAATTCACTGCTTCTCTGACTTCAGTGTAAAGATCCCAAGTATAGTTTTGCCTTTTCTAGTTCTGGATCCTTTACCTGTAGATTTCTGATCTAGATCATTAACATCATGTGATATTAAAGGAGCAGGCCTGAGATACCTCAAAGACCTCAGTGGATATAAATTTGGTGCTTTTGCAAAGCACTACATTATGTTAGTCCTCCAGCAAAACTTCACCCTCCGAGTTACAGTGCCCATAGGCAGCTCAGTATTCAGGATGGATTGACATTCCCTGGATCCTTACCAAGGATGGGGCATGGCTTGGGCCAGAAGGATTCACAGCTGGTGCATTTGCCGTTCCTGTAGTTCCTGTATGAGTTGCACGGGTATGTGGTGATATTGCAGCTCTGTGTCAGGGAGGACAGGAACAGGAAAACAGACCTCTGGTGGTCACATTTAAAATACTGCAATCCTTAATCATACACAGGGAAGAAATATTTCATTAGCAATCCTCATGCCTCAGGACACACCAGTGGTCAGTCACTGACCAGTCTGAACCCAACAAATTGCACTGGGCAGCACTGGGCTGTGGCAGAACAGTAGGTGGGCAGCAGCCTCTCCCTCGGAGTGCACTCAGCTCTGCCTTGTCTGCTTTGCTTTTCTCTTGTCTTTTTGGTTTTTAAAACATTAGTTTGTGTGGTTGCTACAGTTCCAGAGTATCCAACTATGGATCAAGTTCTGTCTCTGGTGTTCTCCTCTCCTCTCTGAGCTCAGGCCTGACAGCTGGATATTGCTTTTAGCTTTGCACGTGACTTTCCATTTTGGTGTAAAAAACTCTGTAGAAAGACATAACTAATAAAATGAGTTGTTGCATGGGCAGCAAAATCAGTGAAGCCTCATTTCCTAGGGATTTTTAGCTCAGGCTGCTCTGCTATGTAGATTGTCTTGGGTCTGATAAGGGTTGTATTCACAATGCTACATTTCCTTCTGTATTTTCTTCACCCAGCTTTCATCAAACCAGTTCTGCTGAAAAAAAGGCTGAAAGGAAAAAAGTTTTCTTTTGTTCAAGACTAGGACTGTGCCTTCCAGACTGCACCTTCTGTCACTGCCAAGGAAGGTGCCTTTGATTTGGGATAACTGCCTGCTCCACATTCATCTTGAGCCTGTTTTCAGAACAGGTCCTTGCCACTGCTAGTCCTTGGGTTTTGTGTGCTACAAGTAATTAGAAACAAAAAATCTCACAGATTTTCTGGACATAGTCACAAAATGAAGGCACACATCTACCTGATAACGTTTTGCACAGAGGATTAGTCCCACTTGCACTGTGACAGAGGCACAGAGGGGTCACTCTGACTCTCATCTCTGCCTGCTGCACATCAACTAAACCCTTGTCATGCCAGTGCTGAGAAGTTGCTGCCATGGCTTTCCCAGAATATGGATTTCATGTACTTTTTAAGCAGTGATGATGATTCTCTGGCTTTCTCCTCTTTTTCTGATTGGAAACATTTTATCAGGGTTTGTGCAATTCAGGGCAGGATTAATTACCAGAAAATATTGTCAGTGGACAGCCTGGTTGGTCGGTCCCGCCATTGGGATAGAAGTCGATATGGCCCAGTGCTTCTCCGTAACCCAGTCCTAGCAAAAGGGAATACCAGGGCTCAAGGAGGGAATATTAAATTGTAAAATGCACAAGAAGGAAATATAGCAACCTAACTGGAAAAATTAGTATTTATTTAGCTCTTGGATACCTGCTTGTACAGGAATACTAATGTCATCCCTCTGTTTAGGCAGCAGGCCAAACAGTTGTGACCCAGCTGGGTAATTTTAACAACAGCATCAAGTACCTAAAATAAGTCTGTGCATGCAACAGTACAAATTGTGGGGGTTTGTGTCACTTGTGTGCAGGAGAGAAGGGATGTGAAACCTGCTGTCCTGCTGAAATCTGACTTCCTGGAAGGGCTGGGAGAAGAGAGGCAGCAATTAGGTGGGAAAGCCAAGTGTTAGGGGTAGGGTGGCCATGGGAGCAGCATGGGGGGCATGGCATTGCACGCTGGCCTGGCTGGTGGATCTGGAAAAGAACAGGGCTGAGGGAGAATCCAGATTTGCCCTAGAGGATAGTCTAGCTCTTAAGAGGTGGGATGAAGACTGGATGCATCACACAGAGAAACATGGCTGGGAATAATTGATTTGCTATGCAAGTATTTGAGCTGTGGGACCAGCTCTGGAAATGCTGTGTGCTCGGATGCAGCCTGACCCGTGGTGGGATGTTGGTGTGTCCTGCACAGGCAAGACTGTGCTGCAGGACCTCCTCCACTGGCTCCTAAGGAAGTCCTTGTAGATCCTGGGCCAGGTAATAATTGCTGTGTCAGCAGTACGTTTTGGAATGTGAATAGAGCAGCAGCTCCTGAGGGAGTGCTGGGACAGTGTGGGCAGCACAGCGCCCCAGAGGCTCCATCAGGGAGCCTGCTGTGCTCTGGGGCCAAAGGAGCGAGGGACCCCAGCGCTGCTGCCCACCAGCAGCCCCCCCCCCCGTGCTCCAGTCAGTCTCTGGGTTTCTGTCTAAAGCAGGTAGATGGAATGGCACCTACCGTCAGTGTCGGAGTGAATGACATCGACGAACTGTGCGTCCGTGGGGTCCAGCCTCTCGCTCAGCGCCATCCCCCTGTACAGGGGGCCCGCGGGGTCAAGGCCTGCAGCACAAAGCCATGGGCAAAGCCTCGCTCCGGGCTGCCCTTCCTTGGGGGGAAGGACTGCTGGAGGAGGGCTTACCTGTGATTCTTCCCAGAGCGCCATCAAACATCTGTCCCACAAAGCCAGAGATGTGCGCTCCCAGGCTCACTCCTATCATGTGTATGGAGTCAAGGGAAGCTCCATCAATCTGAGATATAAAAGTACCCATGGTCATGTGTTTTCGGAAAATGTAAAAAAAATTAGGAGGAGGAATGTAACATCTCCCAGTGTTCCACGTTGTAGATATTTCCCCTTAGACCATCCCACAGAGCAGGCAGCATTCCTGTTTCAGGCCTATGCCTTAGAGAGCTGTGATGAGAACAGTTCAGGCAATGGTTGCATTTTCCTGGGGCAACGACTACAAGTGTGGACAGGAACCACTGGTGGGCCCCAGGAGTAAAATTCCAGTTGCCCCACATGTGGTTCCTGCAAGGAATTAGCAGACACTATGATCCTAAGGATCGAGCATCATCATTGTCTCTGCAACACCTTAGAGGAGCTGTGAACTGTAGCTGATCCCCTTAAGCTGCCTTTAGGTATCCAGAAAGTGGAAGTAGAGTTTCTATGGATGGGAAAACATGACTGGAGAGCTTTGTACCCAGAAATGTAGAGACTTAGAGTGTAAACTGAATATGACAGCAAAATACCATTGTACCAAGTCCAAGGGTAGGATTTGGCATTGCAGTACACATGCACTTCCAAAAATTAATGTATTCCTTTTTTAGGAGTTTCTATTCCCAGACATCCTGCTGGTTTAAGCACTTCCTTTGTGCCCTTTACATACTGTGCCTTAATGACTGTATCATCGCATGAGCGTCCAACTTACCAACATTTCATCTATAAGTTTCTTCAGAATCTCAGCAACTCTTTTGCACTTCCTAGAAGCATAGCTGTAGATGAGAGTCGTTGCCCCATGGTTCCAGTCCACAACGATGACATTCATGTCCTCTACAGAAAGCAGGAGATGCACCAGGTCAGGGATCCAGACCGGGGCAGAGCCCGTGAGTCGGTACCCGTGGATGATGAAGGTCGTTTTCTTGGTCACATTGAGGTACTTGGAGGCTCTTGAGTGGAGCTCCTCAGCACAGGTTGGGTTCTGGCGGGTGTAGAGCAGCAGCTTCACTTTCAGATCTGTCCCTATCAAAGCATTCCCAAAGCTGAGGGCTGTGAATGCAGGACATGCCTCCTGAGGATCTGAAAGGGGCAGAGTGGCAATTGGAGTTTGGCACCAAGGGGTTTTCTTTAGCCTGTTGTACCAACCAACCCTGCACAGGGCAGGAAAGTGTGTTGTGAGTTGTCTGAGCACAGGGGCTGCTCCTGTCTCCTCTCTCCCTCTCCACTCTCTCACCTTCAAGACTGAAGTTACCTTGGAACTTAGGTTTTCTTGCTATGTTGGAACAAAGAGAGCAATCACACCTTTTGGAGCAGCATTCCCTGAAACACCACAACCCTGCTTCCTGTGGCAGCTGGGAGCTGGCAGGGACTCTGTCCAAAAATCTCACTGGTGTGAGGAAGGTATTGAGAGACCAACAGGCAGGATGGTTGCTGTACTGGTTTGTGAGCACACCTAGGTGCTCTGGACAGGTTCTCAGCTAAACAGGTGTTCTTGTTGGTTTGTACCTCAGCCTGGAGCTGCCAAGCTGCAGAGTCTTGCCGTGGTGAGGGGCAGCTCAAGGCTTCACTTGTATGTGCAGATGCAGCCTGGTATTCCAGACTGCAAAATGGGGCACCCTTAGATCTGTGAGATGGTAATTGTGCTTTATACACAGTTAAAGTGTAACTGAATTTTATGTAAGTACTGCTCGATGGGATGGCCTGTGCCATTGGAAAGCCCATCTTTGTTCTTTGCTTTTCCAGCAGAACACCAGCTGAGCCTTCAGAGCCCAATACAGTCTCCAACAGAGCACTGGCAGGGAATGGAATAACTGTCTCCAGACAGACCCTTCTTATGAAGGCCCTCCCAGGTTTAGTAGCCTCTTCCTGGCTCACAATCCTCTCCTCAAATCCTCATAATCTTATTGAAGAACCTTGTGGGGGAGAGCGTCTCTCTCACAAATATGTCCTGGGCTGCAGTAATTGTTCAGGCTACAATTCTTAGAGGAATCTCCCTGGTCTTTGTTGCTTAAAGGACTGTTCAGTAGGTAGCAGGGTTTAGAAAACCTGCAGCTGTAAGTTAATTATGCTCTAGCAAATCTCTAATGCTCTGTGCATTTTAATTTGTGAATGATGAAATTCTCACAGTTTCTATGAGCAACTTTCCCTTTTCTCCTCCTCAGGAAATCAGGAGCATGAGAGTTTTATGAGAGGTTTATGTGCCCAGCACATAAAACAATCTGCTCAGTTGCCACAGTTCTGCTAATTACTTTGTAGAAGCCCCAGGAGCTCTAGAAATAAAAGTTAATAGGCTAAAAGGATGTTGCAGTTAAGTCCAACTGAATATTTTTAATTGCTACCATAAATTCAGAAATAAATTTTAACATCTGAAATCCATGGAGTCCTTCCCGTTTAAAGCCTATGACAACATATGAATGGTGTGACAGGAGTGGTGGGAAATGACCCCTGAGCCAGGCCCAGTGAAATCAGGGGCCTTTGAATGCAGGCTGTCCTGCCTCTGTAATGCTTCACTCAGAGCTCCCAGGAGCAGTGTTACGCTGGCCCTGCTCCCAAGAGGAAAGGTGACCTGGGTGGCTGCCTCCTGGCCAGCCTGCTCTCAGCTCATTCTTACAGTGCCAAGATGCTCCAGGGAAAAAACAGCAAGAGTTCTGTGACACTGCTCTTGTGGAGATCCCAAAGTAACTAGCAGAGAAAAATTAACATTTTTTGCTCATGCACACCAGTCATACAGTGAGACTCAGTGACTGTCCTCTAGGTGCTACTGCAGCATAAAAAAAATACAACTGTGTGTTTTACTAATAACTAGGCATTGTTTTAGTTATTGTATAGTAGCACTATATAGTATTGTTAATTATCTTTACTGCCACTGAAACTGTAGCAATACAGGCAGAAATGCCAGGCAAGAATTACTTCTATATGGTGCAATATTGCACTGATTGCTTAATTTGTTTCTGTATCTCCTGCACTGTGCTGAGGCTTGCCCAGAGGAGCACTATGTTTGTCATCAGAACAGCCCAAACCTTCTGGTACAGAAGTGCTTTCAAAGAGCTGGTCAACATTTGCTGATACCTAACACAGGGACTGTATAAAGAGCCTTGTTATATCTGCACCAGATCTGTTAGATTGGTTCTGTTTTGATTAACAAAATCAAATCAGTCCTAATAAGGGGAGGAAACCTGCCAGCTTCTCTTCTGGCAAGCTGGTGCCAATCCCAGCCTCATCACCATGTGTTCAAAAACTGACACATGGGAGGGCCATTTAACCTGGCTTTGCTCTTCCTTCTGCCACCACAGTGACTCCTACCCAAAGGGCTGGAAGTGTCTTTGAAACTCAGGATGACTGGGGCAAGTGGCTTAGTGAGATTTACTCTGCAAGCAAATAAATGAGGTAGAAACTTATCCCCTGGCACTGTCCTTAACCCATGTCCAACAGATCACTCCCCTCCAGTAAAGGGGAATGAATGGCCATTATAACCCAGCATTCCAGTACCCAGCCCTGCCTTAGCTTGCTAGACAGCCTCTGGCAATCCCCATTCTCCTTCTGCTCTGTTTTCTGACATGTAAAATAGGAGGCAAACACTGGTTTGCTGGGCAAGGGGCTCTGATCTCTCAGAACCTATAGCAGGGAGCATAAAAATGTGTTAAATCCATGTACCTGCCAGGGAGCTGGACAGTTTGGTCTAGAGCCTGAGACCAGCCTCCAAGGTGCTATTGCAGCAGTGGAGCCATCTTCAGAATAACTTGGTTCTGAAGTCATATATATAAATATACATATATATATACACACACACACATATCTATATTCTGAAATTACTCAGGTAATTCCCCAGTGGGAGTGTTGCAGGGAGTGGAACAGTCCCAGGCAGACTCCTGGTATTTACTGCAGTCAGCACTCTTCAGGCCTGCATTCCCCTGGTGTCTCTCATTCCTTTCCAGGAGATGGTTTTGGAGGGCTTTTCTTTGATGTTGATCCTATGGACAAGGCAGGGTTTGCCATGGGGGCGTTTTGGGGCTGTGGTACCGAGCTGTCTGCATGAATAAAGTAGCAGCTGAGGTTTTTACCAGGCTGTCCTTTTGCAAAGGGAAGTTCCAGCAGTTCACCTCAGTGGGTCAGTGGTCACTTGGCTGGATGTGTGGCTGTCCCAGCTGTGGTCCTTGGGACACAGAGCTGCTTGCCCAGTGAGCACCTGCGTGGAGCTCAGCTGTGTGTCACTGCTCTCTGTCTGCAGGAACTCTGGCCCTCCAGCCCCTGCCACCTTGCCTGGGCTTTGTACAGTGTGTCTGTACATCACACTGGTCTTAACCATCAACAATATCTTTATCCCCCTCTAAGCACACTTGATTACTACACCACGAATCTCGAGAGCATTAGTGGTGCAGATTTCCATCACTTTTCCATAGAGAGGGTGTGCCCTCCACTCCTAAACTGGTCCTCAGTAACTCAGTGCATTCATTGGTGCCTTTTCACACTGTTCTTTTCCTACTTCTCCAGACTGCATTTCTTAGAGAGCATTAACCAAACAAACCAAGCAAAAGGCGACCCTGAGATTACTCCAGAGGACTCAATGAAACACAAGTTAGTATTTAGAAGAACAGGTTTTTTTAACCCTGTTTGTTTTCCCTACAAAGCAGAGAGCTGTAACTTGCCTTGCTCCCATGTGTATGCTAACACAAGGCAGTACATTTGTTTATTGTTACACAGGTTTGTTCTTGTAGAGCTGTGAGGCTATCAAATGGAGCTTACTGTTCATAAATGGTAATTCATCCTTCGCCTCTGCCATACATGACACCCCTGAGAACAAATCATTATTCTCTGAAGATTTCGAATGACATTTTCAGTGTCAACAGATAGTACTTATGTAAGAGAAATGTTTGCAAACTGAGGAAATGATAATAAAAAATAGTTCTGGTTTTCCATTTGGAACTCTTAGAACTGACAACATTCATGAAACCAGTATAATTTGCTTTGCCAAAATAAATAATGCTAGTGAGAAACCCTGTGCAGTAACGGTAAATGCAGAGGGCAGGTACATTCATGTTGCTGTAAAGCACAGAAAATGTGTTATATTTGACAAAAACATTCAAAACAAATGGTTGAGTTCTTACCTGTTTTCACCCCATACAAAAGGCAGATGAACACAACACACAGCCTCAGCATATGGACTTCCACATGAAACTTCTAGGAGTAAGAGATTTGAAGGATCCCACAATTTCTCTGGCATGTGTCTGCTGGCTCTGACAGCAGTCTGCTTGCTTTTTTTCCGCCAGTAACAGTAGGTGTGGTGAAAAGAGGAAGTTACCAGCCAAGAAATGAAGACCAGTCAAATGAAGCATCTTCTTAAGGTGGGGCACTTTCTATTCTAGCAGGTTTCTTTAATTTAAATATAGTTTGCCTTGGGGGATGACTAATCAAAGACACGAATGGATTGGTATCATGCTGTAAGCAACAATTTGACTACATGTGTTGAAACTAAGGAGATTATTGCAAAGAATGTCAGGAACATTGCAGATGTCACTGCAAGTCTGATAAGCATCTGGGTGGGGCTGGCACTTGGTTTCACAGGGCCCTGCCTTTGGAGATTTCATGATGACCCCTAATATCTCCCATGTCCTTCCTACTCTCCTGAGTGCCATGGCCCAGAGTCCCTTCTACAAATCGTGTCACCACCTCAGGCAGGAGACAGGCGCACAGCACTGTGTTCTGACAAAGGGTAAGTACCACTTCAAGGTGTCTGGCTCTCTACTGGGCTCCCAAGCAACTGCTGTCTTGGATAACACTCATACAATTGGCATTCCCATATTTTCTCACAGACCTGCTAGAACCTCATAAATTCAGCTCTAATTCAAGAAAGGAACACTTTTTTTTTGATGGATGGGAGGAAGGAGTTTGCCAAGGAAAGACAACTATCAGGGGCAGGAAAGGAAGTCTGAAATTGGAGCTGGAAGGTATAGTGGTAAAACTGGGAAAATGAGGGTGGTGGGGAATCTGTAAAGGGATTGAGAAGGGAGGGAGCAGGGATGGCTGCTGGATAGAAGTAGAGTGGTAGTTTTGCTTGGTGCTTTCTTAGCAAATTCTTCTAACATAGGCCAGGGAAAGGGAACCTGGGGGGATTAGAAATACCTTATTAAGCCTAGGCTCTGCTTTCTTTCCCTTGGTGATGATCCAATGAGGAGCTGACTGATAAGAGCTCCTAGCGGCATAGCTGGTTCTTTGGTCCATGCTGTACTTATTAAGCTTTTTGACTTTGCTAATTCTCAGGTTAATCCTTAACTCTTTCTGCTGTCTGCAGCTCCTTTTCGTTCAGACAAGTGTGTGCTGCTCCTCTGGTGCAGGCATGGATCACACTTGAGGCAGAGCATGTGTCTAGCATGATTCTTTCACAAGCACCTTGAGCTCCTCAGCAGCAAGCAGCTCAACAATCTGAGTCTCATTGAACATGTGCCATGCTGTGATCCCATTTGATAATCACCCAGGCAAAAGTTGGGGCTTGTAATTTTGAAGATGATAAACACTGAAAAAAGACACCAAGATCTTGTGGATCTTGAAGCTCCAGGACAGTGCTTTTTCTGCTGCACTGACAAAAGAATGTAATTTAAACATTGTTTTCCTTCCAGCTCCTTTCTCACCTCTACCAGTAATCCTAAACTCTGTCAAAATATTTTTCCTTAGCAAGAAGTTCTGCCAATGGTGAGATGGAATTGGTCCAACAGTGGAGCATGAAGAACAGAAGGCTTTTACCTGTTGCAAAAGACATCTGAGAATCAGAGATAAAATAAGGTCCTTGAGGGCTTTGCCTTTCATCTCAATACAAAAAGAGCTAACAATTTGTTGCCTGAAGCTAAACCCTACTCATTTATTTTCCCCATCACGTTTTTTTGATTTTCATTTCCCATCTGAGGTTGCTCATCCGAGTGGCTCACACATCAAGAGGCCCTACACTAGGACTGGCAGGTTCTTCCTTGGAACTCTCAACCATCCCTTGGAAGACCATGATTTTGAGTAACCACCATTTCAGCATAAATTAGACTATCTGTTCACTGTACACACTGGCAAACATTCCCAGGATGTCAGCATTGGAAATGCTGTCCACCACCACCATCAGATCCTGAGAGCAGGAATTCGAGTGCTTACAGGCTACTCCCCACTCTTGATTCTGCTGACCAACCTTTCACATCTGCCCCACACATCCACAAACTTGTTAAAGATGGCAACAACTCACAGCTATTTGGGTTTTGTACACTGAACTCTAGACAATAATCCCACTGAGAGCTTTGAAATCAATTGCAATTTGAGACAGTAAAAACTTTTTAATCATGTGTAGAAAACATTTAAGATCAGAATTGGCACCAACTTAAGAACAATTTAACAGAAAACATGAAATAATCTTATAAGCATGAAACATTTTGCACTTGGCTCTGAGATGTCAGAGCCTCTGCTATTTCACATTCAAGAAAGAAGCATTTTAAAGAAGCATTGTGAGCAGAACCACTGTTGGAATCTGAAAATTTCCAGAATACTGTTTCCTCCTTAGGGCAGCTTATGACAGCAATGGTCAGCCAAAAAAATATTTTTATGTTGCATTCATGCATCCACTGTATGAAATCCCACTGATTCACTAATTTCCTGTGGGTGGAACGTTTTCATGGAGATACTGGAGAGCCAAATCTGTCCACTTCATTTCTTGCTCTTTCACAGACTCAGTGGTGCCACCGTTGTCTTGCTCTGGTTCAGGGAGCTCATTCTGAGAACAAAACACAGGTAGAATGCATTCCACATGTAATACACTTCCTGCAAGCAGCAGGTTGTTATGATTTGTATGGATAGATACAAAACCCACAAACGAGACCAGAGGGTGCATCTCAACAATAAATATCATACATACTGATCCACTTAAAAATATTGCTGAGCCTCATCATGAACAATATTCTTTTCATTTAAACATGGTTATTCTTTTCATTTGAATATTCATGTGAATGCGCTTAATCTGAAAGGTAAATTGTTTTCCAGGACCCTGGGGCCTTGCTATACACTCAGACTGCACACACAGTGAGGGAGAATATATAGCAAATGCAAAGTAAGTAAATAACAGTACAATGCATTTATTCCATTGTTTGTTTGCAATGTGCTGCTTCTGCTGTTGCCAAGAATACAAATACTGCAGACAAATGGTTCTGTAAAATGTTGCTTTCCTATGGCAGGTTAGAAGTCCTTCCTGTCTGTATGCTGGAGTCAGGTGTAGCTGTGCTGGATCAACAGCAGAAGCCAGAACCCCCTGCCAGGTGTGCCACAGAGCTGCTCACAGCACACTAAAGGGAAGGAAAGTTCAACTGAGATTTCATTTTCCTTCCTTCTATTATTTGTTCTCTGTCTTGCTGTATTGGTATAGTCACACTGAGTGTGTGCTATTCTGCCAGATACCATTTGGGCAGGAATTCTAGAATTCAGAGTTCTAGAATTCAGAGTTCTAGAATTTCCTCTGGAAATCCCAGCAGGAGCTAAATAAAGTGTTTCAGCTTTGAAAACAATGAATGATTTGAACCCATTTGAGTTCCCAGAAATGGCTTGATTAAGCACTGGAGCAGATTCTCAGGACAGGCTCAAATACCACTTTCACAGCCATTCTGGTTGCTCCTTTGCAATGTCCCTGAGTAAGTCCCCTGTGAATTCATGCTGTTTTCTCTATGTGATCGGAGCCAATCCCATCTCTGGGGATCTTTATATCACAGCCAGGCCTTTCTATTGGTAGTTGGTGAGGCTTCCTTCTCTGAGGCTGTCAGTGTATGTGACTGTAAGCCATAATGAGATGGCTCTAAGGGAAGAAACAGTAATGTCTGGACTCAGGGTAAAGGCAAGTGTCCACAAGGAACCTGTTTATGATACTCAGCTTGCCTAATAAAGGCAAAAGAGGGTTTGTGCTCTTTTAGAAACTGAGAATCACGCTTCTGCAAGATGCTTCCCTCAAGCCCAACTCTTGGCAGGAAAATATGTGCTGTACATATGGACTTTGAGCTGTGCAGCTGCTCCTCGCCCTCTCTGAAAAGCCAGTGGTGGCAGGGCTAATGCTTGAACCATGTCACAAATTTGGAAAGATCTCTCTGCTGAAAGAAACCCCACAATCCCCATGGCTGCTTTATGTGTGCTAGCTGGGGTAAAGCTCGTGTACCAGAGAGAAAAAGGGAAGGGAAAATCCTCAGCTACCTCTAACTTCCCTGTAAGTTTCAAAATAGCCAAGGAGAGGTGTCAGTGTGGGAGATCTGAAGCTTTAGCTCTGGGCTCTGTGGGATCAGCAGTAGCTTTTCCCCTGCTGCCCCTCTCTGACTTTGCAGCTGTACCCTGGATGAAAAGAGAGGTGCCATGCCTTGGACACATCACCACAGGCAAGAGTCCTGCTGCATCTGCCAGTCCTTCACTGCTGTCCTGGAAATTCCAACAGCAACACTGAATCTGGAAAAGACTGCTTTGAAACACTTATGGAAATGTCTCAGCTTCTTTTAATGGCATTGCAGGAAGCAGATATAAAGTGTAACCAAGACTGGAACTGTCTGTGAGACTGATCCTCTGCCCTCCCAATAACCGGGAAAGTACCTCAAACACCAGGAACAAGAAAGGGAAGCAGAGAAAAAGGAGATTCTACTTCTCCCTGAAGCCAAACCTAGGACAGTGCAATGGGAAAGAACTCCAGTTCTGAGAGGATTCAGCAACTGGTCAGGGGACAAGTGACAGAAGCATCCATGTCCTCATGCACTCAGGAATGACTGGCATATAGGGCACGGAAGGAGTCCCTTCTGTGAGAGACTGGATCTTCCATGGAGATCCAGGAGCCTCTTGTACAAATTAGCTGCACCACGAGCAACACTCTGTGCCTTTTCGTGGAAGGGACTGTGATGAACGCAGCAGCCTTAACTCAGATTGATAAGTAGCAATTCACCTACCAGAGGGATGGCCACGTCCTCGTAAGGCAATTTATCTTCCCTCCACGCATCATCGATCAGATCCAGGATCCTGCCATCCCTCTGCACCTCGCTGTCCATCGTCACAGCGGGCGAGAGCAGCTAAATCTGTGACACAAAGCAGATGCTGTTTTAGCAACATCCCCAGCCAAGGAGCTGGAGTCTGGACTATTGGCTTGCTCCAGTTTTGATGAAATCCATATGAAGTTTAAACTTACAAGGATACCTTGATTTCCCTAATCCACTCAAAAAAGGGTTATAACGACAAAGAACAACTTCATCTGAAAAGAACTCTATCAAAGTGAATTGCAGACTGATATGCATTGGAGATGAATATATAAAACCAGATGATTATTATTGATATTTACATGTATTTATATCTACTGACTGACTTTTAGAAGTCTAATTTGAGTGAGTTTGAGCACCTAAAGCTGCTCAGAAGCCTTTGCTGGCTGCTGGCTTACAGCTCCTGAGCAGTGATGTGCCTCACCTGTCTGGGAGAGTCACAACAAAGGACTTCAAGGTACCCAGAATTCTGCCCAAACCTGAAGTCCAGGAAACCGGTGAAACAGAAGCAAAACGAGACCCATCTTTCACCCCCAGCTCCTATAATTACTCCAGAGTGTTTAAGTGTACTCTGCCCTCCTTGAAGGGTCACCTCAGGCCCTCGCCCCGGTGTGATCCTGCGGGGCAGCAGCAGCAGGCAGCCCGACCCTGGCGGGTGTGAGAGAACGGGCACTCATTCCAAACCGAGCCAGGCCTGGCACTGGCCGGCTGCCGGAGCCGCGATGTGGGCGGCGATGGGCACGGGGCTGAGCGCACTCCAGCCCCGGTGCGCTGCGGTCCCTGCCTCTCCCGGCCAGCACGGCTCCGTGTCCCGCGGCGTCCCCGGGTTGTGTCCCCGCGGTGTCCCCGGGTGGTGCCCCCGCTGTTCCCGGGTTGTGTCCCCGGGTTGTGCCCCCGCTGTCCCCGGGTTGTGGCCCCGGGTTGTGTCCCCGCTGTCCCCGCGCTCCCCAGCCCGCCCTACCCTGCCCATCTCCGCAGCCGCCGTTGCGCAGGCGCGGCCCCAGCGCATGCGCAGCGCTGCCGCGGCGGGGCCGGGCCGTGCCCTTTGCCAGGGTGGGAAAGGCGGAAAGGAGGGAGGGAAGGAAGGAAGGAAAGAAAGAAGGGAGGAAGGAAGGGAGGAAAGGAGGGAGGAGGGCGGCTCGGGCAGGCAGCGCCGGGGTGTCGGGCAGCCCGGAGCGGAGCTCGGCCCGGGCTCAGGGCCGCTCCCCGGGGCAGGCGCTGTGAGGGCTCGGCCAGCGGGAGGCTCCGGCTGGGAGCGGCGGCGGGAGCGGGGAGCGCCGGCCGGGGAGCGCTGCCCGGCCCGCTGGCCCCGGCCGCTGCACGGACCTCAGCTGCACCAGGGCAGGTTTGGGTGGGACATTAGGAACAATTCCTTCACAGAACGGGTGATTAGATATTGGAAAGGGCTGCCCAGGGCGGCGGCGGTGGCGGTGGCGTCCCCATCCCTGGAGGTGTTTAAGGAAAGACTGCACGCGGCACTCGGTGCTCTGGGCTGGGTGACACAGTGGGGATCGGTCAAAAGATTGGACTTGATGGTCTCACAGGACTTTTCCGAGCTCAGTGACTCTGGGATTCTCGCCCTGGCGAGGGCTGGTTCACTCCGGGCTCCTGCCGCAGGTGCCGTTCCTGCCGCTGGCAAGCGGAGCTCGCCTGTGGTATTGCTTTGGGGAGGTTACTGCTCCTTTTGTGTTCGTTGTAAGCATGCTTCCAGCAACGCTTTAAGATTGCATCTTTCTGTGTTTCTAAACGCGAAGTAATCCCAGTCTTGTCGCATGGGCACTATTCTTAAGTCCTCCTGTGTATTGTAAAGTTCTCTCCACTTCACTCTACTACAGTTCTGCCTTGAGCTGGAATGCTAAGCCTTTTTTATTTTTAAATGTGTTGTCTTGTTTTGGACTTTTTTTTTTTCCCAAATACTTCACATTTCTTCACTTTCAGAGGTGATCAGCCAGCTCTCCTTCCTTCAGCTGTAGTTAATGAAGGAGATTGCTTCCTCTTGTGGGTCTTTACTCAGGTGCCTGTAACTTGCACGTTGCAACTTGCAAGCATGAGAGGCCAAAATGTAATACTAAATCAGCAAACCTTATGTAGCATAGAAATGGCTAGAGGTGTCTGATTTTAAGGCCTTTCCCCAAAATCTGGGTATGCCAGCAAAGTAAGCAAAGCTGTGAGGGTGGTGAGGCAGAGGCACAGAGAAGCTGTGGCTGTGCCTCCCATGGGAGTGTCCAAGGCCAGGTTGGACAGGGCTTGGAGCAACCTGGGATAGTGAAAGGTGCCCCTGCCCATGGCAGGGGTTTAGCATGAGATGGCTTTAAGATCCCTTCCAACCCAAACTGTTCTGGAATTCTATGCTGTCTGTCTCCTCATCTCTCTGGCCACTGAAAATTGATTGTGTGTAGGTGTGATTAGAATGAAAGAGGAGAGCTGCTACTGTCTAATGTCTGCTGTGGCCACCTGGAGAGCCCTTGGAATGCTGTCAGCAGCTCAGGGGATCTGCTCATCTGCTCTCCTCAGCACCCTGCCCTCAGCAGAACCACAAAGCTGTTCTGCATACTGATTGAGTTTTGTTAAGCACAAACAGGACCAAAGACAGACGAAACACTGTCAGAATAGGGATAGGATTTTTCTCTGTGCATTTTTTATATGCTTGTGGTTTAAAACACAGCTCCCAAGGACAGATTTTAATCTCTGAATTGTGTTTTTAAGTGCTGTAGGAGCACAATAGAAGATTCTCTGGAAAAGAGAGCAAAGCTGAGCCTGCATTTGTGAAAGTCTCCCTTGCTGTGACCTGTTCCCCTTTTGCTGATTGCTTAATAATGCATATTAATCTTTGAGGAAAGATGGTGGAAGGATCCATCTTCAGTACTTGGAAAATGTGTAGATTTTGGAAACAGAAATTTGTGTTAATAGCTCTGGACAAGTTAACAATTTTTATGTTAGCTGCAGTTTCATGAAGGAGACATTGAAGTAAATTCTGACTTCCTAGCTCTGGTTGCATGGCAAATTTTTATTCCTCATTTTTGGCTTTAATGTAAACTCTTCTCGCTTTCACCAAGATGCGAAATTTCTTTGGGTATGCATGTGTTTGTTACTTAAAAGGTGTAATTTTTAACTGAAGCAATGTACTGCTACTATAAAGGTGTTCAACTTATTTTCATAATTTAAGAGGAAATTTTAAGGAGTTTGTGTTTTCTTAAAATTCCCACAACTGTATGAACAACCAGTGTGTTCTGAATGTTGTGGTAAACTGCATGGTCTCTTTAACCCAGTCTGTAATAGAGGCCTGGAAAATATGTAATTTATGGATGAATTCTTACTGCTACTTGCTGGTGTTTTCTCTCTGAAGTGACAAACTTTGAAGCCCAAATGTTCCTGTTTCTCCACATGCTGGTGCTCTCAGGAGATCTACCAGTCCTTCTGTGTTGAGTTCACACAAATGCAGATTCTCATTGCTCCTCTCTGAATTTATTAGATCCCATGATTATATCTCTGCAATTTGGTAGTGCTGGATGATAGCATTGGATATATTTTTCTGATAGAAAAATCTGTTTTCCTCTGTTTGGCTTGTAAGTTCATGAAGGTGCCATTGTTTTCCTCACATACACTCCTTGTATGTTTTTTTTACTTCTGTGCTTTTTGGGCCTCCACTTTTCCTGCAGTTGGATGGAGAAACAACCTGGTTTGTGCATGACCGTGGGTGACCACTGCTTTCCTGTATTTCCCTAGTACTGAACTCACCAGGATTCAGTGATGGAGGCTTTGCTGGAAGGAATGCAAAGAAATGGGCAGGGGAGGTATGTATGCAACTGTACACAGCAGTCATTCCAAATTATTTAAGTGTTAACCTTGCCTCTTACTCAGGATAAATGCTCTGATGTAAGTGTGCAGTGGCCCTCAGCTCCTGCAGAAGTGAAGTCACTGAGGGAGCTGGCTCTGCACTAGTCCTTGCTTATAGTCTTAATTGTCAGAAATTTAGTTGTACATCTTCCTGAAACCTCAGCCTCTTTTTTTCTCAGTTGTTGTTGTAAACTATTCTTACTGTCCAACATCAGGAGCAGTAGTAAATAGAGTTGTGAATAAATATTTGTTTTGTAACAGCCTTGCAAGGTTAATGAAATTTGACTTTGTTATCTGATTTCACTGAAAACATCTGATTATTTCCTGCTTGTGTTGAAACTGCAGAGTCCCACTCAGCTCTGAGTGAATCCTTAATGCTGTGTCTGAGGTGAGAATCTCTAGACTTTTCGATCCCTGAGAGAGACTGTAGTGACAATAACAGAACAAAATGCTTTATGTGTTAAACAACCGTGAAGCAAAAGTCACTGATGCCATTTTCCTAGTCATCCTTGAGAATGTGACACAAATTTATTTGATACTGTATCTTCTTTAGAGAGCTGGTTGCAGAAATCAAGTTTCGAATTTGCTACATATTAGCAGATGCTGTGAAGGAAATGTTCCTGCTCTGCATAATAGCTGCTAATTTTTGGTTAACTCACAGGACAGGGTGAACTTCAAATGTGACTGATTTTGGCTCCTTTAAGGAGTATTTCTTTTCCTATAGAAAAAGTGCCAAGTAATGAAGTGTGCATAGGCCCTGGGGGAACAGAGAAATTTCTGTTCCTTAACCTATTGATTTCCATTTCTTTTCAGTTTTTCTCTTTGACAGGCAAATTAAAGGGGTAGAGATCATTATGGAGTTCACCACCCTCTAGGGCTGTGTCTGGCAAACCTTAATATTGTCCCTGTCTTGGCAGCTGGGAACTTTTAGAGGAGTTACTTGAATTGGTTTCAATAATTACTGCACCAAATTAGAAATCTGGGCATCACTAGGGAGCTTGTGCTCCCCGATGGATTGCGAGGGTTTGATTCTTCATTATCATGTTGTCATCCAGGCCCCTCTGCTTCAGAGTTTGTCTGCATTTGTGATAAACTTCTGGTTTTGGGAACTCATAGCTTGGCTGTAAGATTCCTCTGGTGACTGAAACCTGCTATAAAATGCCACTGCCTGGAGAGCAGTTAAGGCAATACAAAATATGAATTAAACACACTTTGGTTTACTTACATAATGCACAGTACCCAAGGCAAAAGGCTGAATGCCTAAGTGTGAAGTGATGTGGTTTAGCGGGCATGGATGTTATTGGGTAAAAGGTTGGACTTTGATGATCTTGGAGGTCTTTTCTGATCTTAATGATTCTGTGATTCTATTGTGTGTGAGCTGATTTGGAGAGAGGTCGAAGCACTCACTGGCTGTGCGGGGTTGGTGCCTTGTGCCAGTCAGTGTGTTTGCTGCCTTTGTTGGTTTGGGACACTGGACGTGGTGGGTGGCACTTGCTTTATTTAACTCCAGGCTCTCTCCCCTCCAGCGGTGGGTTCTTGACCTCCTGTGCAGCTGAGCTGCAGGAGCTGATGAAGCAGATAGACATCATGGTGGCTCACAAGAAATCCGAATGGGAAGGGCAGACACAGGCTTTGGAAGCTTGTCTGAGTGCTCGGGAGCAGGAACTTTCCTCTGCCAAGGCAGCTCTGCAGGAAAAACAAAAGGAGGTACCTTTGTTTCATACTATTTTTTCGTTGGAGTCAGTAGTGTCAGTCAGTGTGTTTTACCTGTTAGAATCAGTAAATCAGGAATAGAATTTTTAAAGGACCTGTTGGAACAAGGTGTCTGGTTAATAACTCAATCCAAGTCAAGTTATCTGCTCCTCTAGGGTTGGTGGAAGTCCACATATGGAACAGTTAGAGTTGTTAGAGATAACCCAGAACTGGTTCTGGCTACTGTGGTAATGGACAGCCCGGCAACCTGCAGTCATTGGTACAAAAAACACATTTCCTACTGCATAATCTGCACCAAGAAAGCCATTTCCTATTATGAACTATACCAAGATATGGCTGGGTAACTCTTCATAGGCTTTTTTACAGAGCTCTGGTTTTGTGGTCTTTAAAAGCCTGAGAGAAGTGCAAAAAAAATCTGTATTGGTGGAAAATTATTAGTAAGTGAAGTTTTTGTGCAGGATGTGGACCATAAAATGCAGTTGAGCCACAGGATTTTTGTTTGCAAGAATGATGATTTTTATCACATAGGTTATTGTTGTTATTATCAATTATGTTTTCTCAAGACACTTGAAATGTCTCTTACCACCAAAAGCAAACATGGATTTCAAACTGAACTGTAAAGTGTGTTTGAAGTTACTGTTGGAGTATATTCTTGGTTTTGGTTTAGTCCTGGGAATTTTCTGTGGGTTTTCTTTTAATTTTAATTTGTTGGCTTGTGACCACTCAGGTTGTGGATTGGAAAAAGATAGGAGAAAAAAAAAGGGAGAAAAATGAGTCACAGGAACAGTTGATTCACTGTCAGGGAAGTCTTTTCTGTGAGCTTCAAAACCTCTTTTCTTACTTTTTCCATGGCCAACTTTTCTCTTGGTAGATAGCTTGAAATCATAATGCATATTTGTGAAGAATTTGATGAGAATACTGGATAGAAATAGGCTTTTGGCACAAACCAAATATGTTAGCTTTGTCCCCAGGAGTGAAATCCAGAAACTGGCTCAAAACAAGAGACCACAACAGAAACAGTTGTGGCCCCAGACTGCTAAAGATTTAGGCACAGCCTCCATCTATTTTAAAATGAAGGACCCCACTGAAATGTCCCTGTATCTACTGGCAATAAAGCCTATTCTGTTGTATTTATTTGTTTTATATCCCTCTGTTCAGGTTGGCCTGCTGCGTCGCCAGGTCGAAGATGTGGAAAAATCCAAGCAGGACATGGTTAGAGAGTATGAACAACAGCTGAAGAAATTCCAGGAGGAGGTGAGTTGCAAAAAGAGAAGTTTGGTTTCTAGTTCCCAGTTGATGATGGATCAGTTACTTTGTGTCATTGTTTTTGTTTCAGTGCTGTGGTTTTAAAACTGCCCAGTCTGTTAGTGTTTGTGTGCTTAGCAAAAAGAGCACTGAGCATAGATAAAGTGACATTTGTATGGCTCAATAGGCCTGTTTTTTGTCATTTGGAGGAACTTGGTGACAGAAAACTGTTGGAGTAGGAATGTTTTCATGTGTTGACATCTGCAGAAGTTCACTGCAAGAATGTCCTGTCTTTGCACATCCCAGTCACCACAGTGCTGGTTCTGGAGCTGCCACAGGTTCAGGCAGAAGCAGTTTCCTCTTTCAGCTTTTCTGAAATTCAGAAAGGGTGGAGATGTAACTGGCCTGGCTTATGTGAGATCAGGAAATAAAAGTGATATGTGGTCTCATATTTTTGTCTCTGTTAACACTGATGACTTTAGTAGGGATTTTGTACTCTCAAGGAATATTAGTCTTAATACCTTTTATAAAAAACAAGTGTATGTAGAAAATGCTGTTTGACAATAATATTGGAGCTTCCATCTCAAAACCTCTTGCTCAGTGCAAGATAATACCTGTCCTGCAGGTGGTATAACAGCATTCCAGATTTATGCCTGAACTCCTTGCCTGTCTGCACTTGCCAAGAGCAGGGAGTGAACTGGCATGAGCAGCTCATAGAGCACTGACCTGTTTTCTCTGGAGGGCTGGGCCTAGTTCCTGCTCACTGTAAGCCATAAGTGAAATTAATTTGGTAGTCTCTGCTCTGATGACAGAAGGCATCTTTTCTCATTTAAAAACACCTCACTATTCCATATGACTAACAGTCTTCATTCACTGGGTGTTCTCACTGGAATTGTGGATAAGCTGCAGAGCAAAGCTGAGGTACATTGGTAGATCAGCCTAAATTGCTAAGGCTGAAATACAGCCTTTGTGTTGTGGCCTAAATTGCAGTTTGTGGGTATTTTACTTACACAATATTAATGCTGATGACATTGAGCTCCAATATTCCTCATTCTTCTGTTCTTAGTACTGTTTGGGGAAATTATTTCTGTCCCTGTTTACCACCATTTCCAGTGCAATTACAGGTACACTGTCTAACTGAGACTGTTGAAAGAATAAACCTCTTATCTCCTGATATGTTTGGCAAAAGATGTTGGTATTCTCTCTAAGCCTGAACATCTGTCTGTTCCCACTGAACACACTGAAGTACTGAATATATCAGGTCTCGAATCAGATATTTTTTTCTTCTCATGGTCCTCCCGTCCTGCTTAGCTTTGTCCCTCAGTAAAACAGCAGTGATAGCTTCTCAAATTCATGTGGCTATTCGGAAGCCTTTTATTTAATAGTTAAGTAGGGGGGAGCTCACCGTATGAAAAATTATCTGCAAGTTGCAAGTGATTATTTGCATGGAGGGTCATTTAAATGTCAAGAGTTTTTTCCTCATTCCTGCTTCTGATACAACTTCAGCATCCTAGCAGCAGGCGTAGGAGTGATATTTTCTGTTGGCTTTCTCCACTCATTGTGAAATACACGGTGTATCTAAACAGAAAATGACAGATGAAGTGGTGTTGATATTATGGGTAATGGCAATTCTCAAACCTTCCTTCTCCCACTAAGCAGGAGAGTTCCAGTTCCCACCTGAGCTGCACAAATGTATTTTGATCACACAAGATTTACCTGTGTGTGGTGTGGTGGGTGTGCTCCTGTGGGTGAACAGATCAGCCACAGGCGCTGCTGGCTCTTCTGGGGCTGTGAACCACCTGTAGAGAGGGGGATGCTGTGCTCTTGCTGTATTGAAAGCTGCCTGTAAACCTCCATCTGATCAATATTTTAGTCATGCTTTAATTATGGTAAGACAGAGCTTTAGTTAAAGTTGCTGATGTCATGACTTCAGTGGCATCTTGCTACTCTCATACAACTCGTGTGTTTTGCTGTGCTCTTGGTATAAAAGACTCATTATCCAAATGGAAGCCTTCGCTTGGGAGCTGTGTGGACTTGATGAGGGCATTGTTTGTGTGAACCACTTTGTGTGTCTTCTTTCAAAGGGCTGTTTAATTCTTGTCTTGGGACCTTGAGCAAAGCTCTCTTTGACTCTCTCTTTGTGCAGTTGTCCCGGCTGAGGAGGAGCTATGAGAAGCTGCAGAAGAAAAAAACAAGAAGCAGAGGAGAAGCTAACAAGGGACAAGAGGAGGACAAGTTTGAACTGAGCCGACTGACCAGGAAGCTGGAGGTATGTGGAGAAAAAGCAAGTGCTGACCAGCTTGTACTGAACAGTCCACTAGGAAGTGGATATTGAGTTCTGCTTAAGGAGCACTGCCCATCCACTCTCCAGGTGCAGCTCTTCTCAACTGCATGTGTGATAAAGGCAGTTTCATGTGCTGGGGCCTCTGACTGCACAGCATAAACTTAATGCTGGTTTTACCCTTAGACTAAATAAGAGGGAGAAATTGCTGGAAGAGTAATTAATTATGTGAATGGAATGAATTCCAGTGTGGGGAGGTTGTATTCTCACTTCTTGGAGGAGGAGGGAGCTACATGTCAAATTTCTTCGTAACCCTGTTTCATCTTCTAATCTTTCTGCTCTGCTGAGCTCAACCCCACTCAGTTTTCTCCTCCTGAGAGGTGTGGTAACAACACACATCTGACTGATGTAGTGCCCAATTTCTGGAACAGAGATTAGCAGTCAAATTCTGTATGTAGTTCTTGTCATGTTGGTGATTTCAATACCAGCATGCTTTGGAAGCTAAAGCCAGTCTGAATCGTTAAACTCCTGACAGCAAACCCATGAAATCAGCCATGAATGTGATGGCACTTAACATCTGTGAGCAGCTTTACCTGGGGTGGGGAAGGAATGCAGTGTGCACGGTGTGTGAGGGCTCTGCACTGCTGAGCTGCTGCATCAGGTGACTGGCTAATGGTTTCCCTGCTGGGGGAAAGGTGTGAGGATATGGTGGGGAGAGAAGGCAAACGTGGATGTGAACTGGAGGGGGATGTGCTGCTCCAAGCTACCCCTGCTGTCCTTGCAGGAGTTCCGTCAAAAATCACTTGACTGGGAGAAGCAGCGCCTGCAGTACCAGCAGCAGGTGGCATCGCTGGAGGCGCAGCGCAAGGCTCTGGCAGAGCACTCCGAGCTTGTGCAGGTACAATTAGCATGTGCTGGAAGTTTCTGCTTTGTTTGTGGGAGGGAGGGAGAGGCTAATGAAATCTCTCAGGCACCTATCCAGTTCAGATTGCCATTGAAGTGATTTTTAATGTTCTGTTGGAATATAGTTTGCTTGTACGAGTGGTGTATGGAAAAAAATCTGGAGTCTGTCATCAGAGATTAGATAAACCTTGTGCAGCTCTCCCTGCCATTGCTCTGGTTAGCAGAGAAGAGAGTAGGATGCAGATTTCCCTGGGAGGCAGAGATCACAGCATATGACACTTTAAAATATGTTACATCCTGTTGTCTGGTTGAAAGCTGTGTACCTGCCAGCAGCTAAATAAGTATCTTGTGGGTCCAGCTCAGAGGGTACTGTTAGAAAACAGTCTTCCCCTACATCAGAGACTTACATAAAATACTGAAGCAACAGCAGTTTTCAGCACCCTGCACCTTTTTTCAGGTCTCTCAGAGGCAAGTAGTGGGGCTGCTGTTCTGCAAAGCTGATGGCTCAGTGGTGCTGCAGCAGAGCAAGATGAATTGACCTAGAGCACAGCTGTGAAGTCACACAGACGCAATCACAGCAGACACTGATAAGAAGCTCTTGCTGGGGACTTTGCCTTAATGGGCTCCTGAGTTGCTCTTGAGTGGAAGCTCCTGCAAGGAGGGAGACTGTGATGACAGGATTGAAGCTGGCTCTGACAGGGGCTTTGTGAGAGGCTGACACCAGGAGATCTACAAATGCAGAGAGAGTCCTTGAGCAGAAGGTCTTGCTGCTCTGCTGTCTGTGTGTCGTTGATAGCTCAATTGTTTGGGAACAGATGTGTCCTTGGAGCTCAGGCTGGGACACTGGGGCACAGAGGAACTTGTCTTACTGTGCAGCAGAAAACCAGGAGCTTGGGGAGGTTTTGCCAAAGTGGCATAGGTGCCTTAGGTGCACAGGTACTGTGAACAGTCTGCCTGAGTCCTCAATTGCTTTGAAAAGCCCAGCATGGAAGTGCTAAATTTTTTGCCTTGGATTTTTCTGTACATTTTATGTGCTTAGTTGTCTTTCTAGCACAAGGTCAAGCTGAGATCCATGACTATGGAGTACTTCTCCTCTCTCTCCTTTTCATCTGGCTTCCCCTCAGCTCTTCCAGAGCAGCTTAAGGAAGCCTGGAATTCCTCCCCACTACAGGCCACCTTCTGGAAACCTTTAAAGTCAGCCTTTCCCAAAAACCTGGAATTCTCTGCTGGCATGGATGTTGTGTGGCTGGAAATAAGAGACAGCTTAAATGTTTCTTAATGCAGAAATAAATGTTCAGGCAGTCTGATACTCTGGCTTCTTGAGTGAAGAAAGGCACTGCTTTAAACTCTCAGCCTTCTTGATTACCTTTTCTGTCATGACTATTTAAATAATAATAAAAGGCTGTAATCAAATCTATACCATAGCCTTGCAAATGAGCAGTTCTTACAGTTTGTGTAAATCAAGGCATCTGGTGATTGTGAAGCTGGCAGGCATTGCTGCTCTTTGAAACTGGGAGTATAGGACTGCTCAAATATTTTGTTTCAGCCTTTAAAAATTCAAAGATTTTATACAATAAGGGAGTATATGAAGTGAATGTTCCTAGAAGTTTATGTGAGAGCTGGCTTGTTAAATTTCACCAGCTAGCTGTGTGGAAAGAAATGCTATGAAATAAAGTATTGTGCCTATAAATTATAGATCAGGTATTGTCAGCTACTCATATGTTCCTTGTAACTTTTTTGTCTGCCATTAAAACACTGAAAAATTCAAAATGAGCATTCCCCAGGCTGCTGGAACCAGGTATTTACTGCAGACAGCAAAGCAAATTGTCTGTTAGAACTGGTTTGTTTTAGTGCTGTTTGGCGGTTGTGGTTTTGCAGTTGAGCACCCAGAGCTGCTTTCTGTCCTGGTGTGGAATTAATTGTTGGGTAATCTCTGTCCTGTTTGATTTGCAAACTTTCTTACCTGCAGCCATTAGTCCTGGCCTAGCTTTGGGCTCATGAGCGAAAAATAGCAGGAGGTTTTGTTCTTGGACAAGTCATACTCAGGCAGTTGGAGTGATTTGAGATTCTCATTTTCCAGAGTCTCTTTGAACTGCTTTTGGAATCAAAGGACCTCCTCTTTTTTCATTTTGTTTTTTACTTATTCTGTTTGCCTTGGGAAGTTTTATTCATCATGTAACCCTGGAACAGTACTCTCCCTAATTCCTTGGAAGGTATTGTTGAGAATGAGAATGTGTCTCATCACACCAAGAAATCAGTAGTTGTGTTGAATTTAGCTTTGGTGCAGCTTTGGTGCTTTTGCAGTTTAGCTCCAATGCAGGTGTTGCTGTTGCAGACCCAGCTGGCCAATCGGAAGCAGATCCTGGACTCGGTGGAGCTGGCGAGCCGCTCGGAAATCCAGCACTTAACCAGCAGGCTGGAGAGGGCCAAGGACACCATCTGTGCCAACGAGCTGGAGGTGGAGAGGCTCAGCATGAGGGTGGATGACCTGAGTGAGGACAATCGCATGATTCTGGAAGATCAGCAGAGAGTTCAAGAAGAATTAAGGCAGTCCAAGAAAATGTTAGAGGTCAGTGGAGGAACTCGTAAGAAACGGGGTCTAAAGAAGTGGTGGAAAGGCTTTCCATCCTGGAGATTTTGTCTCTTTCTAGAGCCTTTGCAAAGTTCCTGATTGGCATCAAAATTGACTTTGTAGCCCCATGTGCTGCTCTGCACATTTTTTTTAGGACAGCAGTCCTAAAAAAATCTGATCAACCTCTCATCACATTGCAACCAACTGGTTTGGTCCATCTTGCATCAGTCATTCACTCATTCCTTCTGCCTCCTGTGCAGGTGCTACAGGATGAGAAGATGGAACTAAAAGCCACCTTGCAGTCTCAAGAAGATTTCATTGACAGCTCGAAGCTGCACCAGGAACAGTTACAGAACGAGCTGGACGGGATGACTGAAACTCTTCACAGAAAAGAACTCCTCATCAGGTAGCATCTGTGTCTTGCTGGTGCTTTATGTCTTCAATCCAGATCTATGCTCCAGGTTCTCTCACTGAGGACAGTAGCAGCATTTTCATGCAGCTGGATCTGCATGAAAATGTTGTATTTCACATAGTGCACTGCAGTTTCTCACAAGCACTGTGCTGCCTTGCAGCATTTTTCAATTTGCATTGCTTTTGAAATTAGCAGATAATCAGTGAAGAGCAAGGAAGGAATCCACTTTCCTCAGCTGGGTTTCTGGAGGCAATGCAGGTCTTTTGAGGGTGTTTCTTGCAGGCATTTTCAGCCAAGTGCTGGAGGCCTTTCAGGGTTTGATAATGTGCTTATTAACCTAGGTGAAAGTTCTCACTGGTTCGGGCTTGGCAAGGTAACTACATCTGTGACAAAACCATATTGGCCTTTCCCTTCTCCCCTGGCGATGTGCAGAGGCTGTTGGGTTCTGGTGGCTATGTCAGAAGGCTTGGGTGTTGGTCACCTACCAGTCTCTGGCAGGGGGACCAAAGTCAAAATAAAATGCAGTCTTTTTCAATCAGCCATAACTCAAGCAGGGGCTGTAATCCAGCTGCATTGTTTGCTTACTCACACTGCACACAGTGGTAACCTGCTTTTAGGTGATGTGTATTTTTCAGAGAACTCCAAGAAAACAATAGTTATGTTCCCTGTACCAGTGAACTCAGACATGATGTTTCTGTGCTGAGATTAAATCTGCTGTTTCTGTGTAGGGCCTTGGAGGAGCGCTTGCAAGGGAAGGCATTGTCCTCTGCAGGGCTGGAGCTGGAGCAGGTGCTGCTGCAGCTGGATGTTGCCCAGAAGAAGGAACAGCACTTGCAGTCAGAGGTGACTCGTCTTGAGAACAGGTAGCCCACTGCTTGCTCCCTCTGCAAGTGCAATTAGTCTTGGATAATAATACAGCAACTAATTGAGTTCGTGAAGTTAACCAGTGATTTTTGTAGGCTTGTTTTAAATATCAAAGGGCCAAAGAAATCAAGTGCTATTCATTGTGCAGTGTAATAGTGACTGCTCTGGTAACTGGTTGGCTGCATTTCACTGCACACAGTGGGTGTTCTCAGTGTTCCAGCTTGCTTAGGCTGAGCACCTTCACTCATAATAGCCTAAGGAGCCTTTGTTAGGCAGCTGGTTATAACCAGATCCAGACCTTCCTGTGAAGTGAGGATTATAAACAAATCTGTCCAGAGAGATTGTGGACTCCTCATTTCTAGAGGTGTTCAAGATAGATGGGGTTGAGGCAACCTGGTCTAGTTGAAGGTGTCCCTGCCCACATCAGGGAATGAGTTGAGCTTTAGGGTCCCTCCCAAACCAAAGCATTTTGTTATTCTATGATTCCTCTCCAAGTTTGTGGTTTTCAGACTTGTGTTTACATAGAAATTTTGTAATCTTAGTTTGTAAATAAACAGGCAAGAAACAGCTGTTATCTGTTAGATGAGCTTCCTGATCTCATGTGAAACGATTTTAGAAAACAAACCCAGAGGATTGGTAAGGAACTTGTAGGCTGAGTAGAGTTTCTGTTGTAATGGATGTAAAGGACTGCCTGGAAGATCAAAGTTTCTCTGACCATTTCCTCCTCCTTGGGTTATTCTAATCTATACTTTTGCATTTGGCACCCAGCCTGGTGACTTCAAATGCCAGGTGTGTGCAGCTGAGTGAGGAGCTGGGTGAGAATATCAAAGAGCTGCAGTCTCTGGAAGAAGACCAGACTGAGTCAAGGGCAGAGATTAAAAAGGTAACATGGCTTTGTTCCCGGGGAGTGGGATGGCACTGCTGGAGAGAACTGATCCCTGTGTGCCACGTGCCTCAGCAGTGGGACCAGGGCAGGGCTGCTGTGCAGGCAGGGATCTGCTGGAGGTAAGGAGCACACCTGGCAGAGGAAGGGTTGAGAGGACACCCTTTTGCAGGTGTCTGAACCTGGCTTTGTGAGCATCTCCTGGGCCTCCCCCAGTACTTCTGCACACTGTGGAGATAATTGAATTACTGCTGGATGGGCAAATATGTGAAGAAATTAAGGTCTGGAATCCTGAGTTTAAGCCTAATAAAGGCTCCCAACAGGATAAAGAGCAGCGAAGGAGCGAGTTTGCTTTAATATGTCCTGTCACACTTGAGGCAGGACTTCAAATATGTCCTGGTGCCTGTGTGAATAAGGGAGTGTGTTTCAGGCTTGGTACGCTCTGAGCACCCAAGGAGGGCAAGCCCTTCACTAGCTTGGCTCTTCATAATGGTCTGCATCAGCTCATGTGAGAGCTTTCACTGGAGCCTGGTAGAGTGGAAGCCTCATTGAACCTGAGTGAAAAACCTCACTTGTGTGGAAATCTTTCATCCTTTATTCTGAACATACAGAGGTACAGATCTTGCCAGAGATGTGTGCTTGGTTACACATCTAAACAGCCACACAGTAAATTAATCTCCCACAGGCTGCTGGGGAGGAGGGAGAGATTTATGAAGGCTGTTTGTGTTTTATATACTTGGGAGGCATTGAGGTGACATGGAGATAAATCACTGTGTGAACAGTATTTACATGGGTAGGCAGAGATCATCTGGTTCAATTTTCTAAAATGCTTGTAATTCTCAGAAAAATCCTGTGTGTTTGGGTGGTTAATATTTCTGACTAATGGAATGGAGTCCTGGGGAAGGAATTATGCTGCTTTTTCTGTTGTGCCACTGAGTAAATATACAGTGTGCCTACCAGTATATTGTATGCAGTGCAGGTCTGCCACCTCAAAAACCATTGAATAAACCAAGATAAGGTATGGAAAAAGATGACCAAAAGGATGGAGTGATTTTTATACAGGCAGCAGCTGAATGAAATAGGACTTAGCAAACTGGAAAAGAGATAAATGAGATTGAATGGACTGAAAATAAAATCATGCCTGTCATGTGAAAAGTAAATAGGGAATGATTATTCTCTTATGATGCAGGGACTAGTGGTCATCACACAGAGTTATGAAAACAGAGATGTATTTTTACCCTGTGCATAGCTGGCTGGTGGAAGTTTGCCATGGGAAGCTTTAGTTGCTACATGCTAACATTTGTTCAACTCTAATGTTGATTCAAAAGACTTAGGGCAAATTAATTCCTGGAAGAAAAATCCAGCTTGAGCTATTTAAAGTTACCATCTTTAAATGGTATCTTCAACTGCCTCAGGAAGGCAGAGTGGCAAATTGCAGGGTTATATTTTCCAAGAGTTACTGTGCTTCCCCAGTCATGGTGACCCTTTGGCTCTCTGGCTTTGGCTACAGAGGTTGGATGATGAGCTGAAGAGGCTGTTGGTTTGATAAATAGTGGGTCTTCTCAAGTACCTCATGGCATGAAGCTTCTTTCCAGTTGGCAGTGTGTGGTGTGGGAAAGGATTGGGATGAGGTGGTTTCAATCAGGAAGGACAAGCACGTGCAGGGGGTTTGTTACTTAGACCTTTTTTGTTTTCCAGGACTGAGATTTCACATTCCCACTGAGATTTCACTTTTGCTTTTTTAGCTGAAACATGTTTTAAAAGCTTGTGGGTGATGTGTGCATGTCTTCCTCCAGTTGAAAGAGCAGCTCTCTCAGGCTGAACAAGTGCACAGCAGTGAGCTAGAAGGGTTGAAAAAGGAGATCTCCAGGCTGACACAGGAGCTGCACCAGCGGGACATCACCATTGCATCGGCAAGTGGCTCCACCTCAGACCTGGAGCAGCAGCTCAGAGCAGAGATTGAAAGAGCAGAGAGGAAAGCAGTGGAGCACAGGGTAAAAAAGGCACAAGACTCTTATGCTATCTGTTTAAGGGACCTGAAGGCTTGAAACACCATCCTGGTTTTTAGCTACAATAGTTTCCTTCTCTATTTAGCCTCTGTAGAAAAACAGACCTTCTGAAGGAATATTCTAATGATGGTATTCACTGAATCTGTCTTGCTGCTTCTTTTCAAACCAGCAGCCTATAGTCCCACAGAATTCTTTGGGATCACTCTTGCTAACTAGACCAGGATGGATAACATGTTTGAAAACGGTGCCTGATTATTTTTGTAGCCTTCTCTGTAGGGTCCCAGTACAACTAGCAGCCCAAACCTTGCTTAGTACTTGAGTTTGAAGGTGGAAAATGCTTGGAGGGTGTTGTGAGCATGCATTGTGTTACTTTTCTGAGCTTGGTTGCCTCTGTCTCCTCAGGTAATTCTGGTCCAGCTGGAAACCTTGAGGCTGGAAAACCGTCATCTCTCGGAGATTCTGGAAAAAAGAGAGTGTGGTAAGCTGAAGGTATGAAGGTATTGAGGACTAGGAGCTGGGAAGGGGCTAGCCTTGTGTTCCTACCTGGGAGTAGTCAGAGTCTTTGCCCAGGCTTCTCAAAATAGGGGATAAAGCTCAGTGAACTTAAAGCCCAAGCAAAAGAAGCAATTTGAGAGGAGATAAGGTGCAGAAATATCAGGCATTTGTTCAGTCAGAAAGTGATGAAGAGGACTGCAGAAGCAGCCATAATTTCCATGTCTTCTCCATGGGCTTTGGCCCACATTTTTTAGTATATTTCATTACACTTCCATTTTAAGCCACTTTACGTCGAGCCTTTGATTCTCAACCTGTGATGTCCTTTTGACCTGTCCTAGAGCTGTAACTGCTCTGGCCCTTGAAATGCTTGGGTGAGAGTGTGTTCTCCCCTGGTGAGGAGCCATTCAGCAGGGCTCTCCTTTCCTCTCCACGAGCAAGATGCAGACTGGGAATATATGGGCTGGATGTGTTGGGGCAGTGTTCTTGGAAGGGGCCCTGTGGTGGGCTCCTGCAGCTGAACAAAACCTCCAAAACTCTTGATGCAGAGGGGAAAAGAGGAGCCTGCATGGCAGAGAAGCAGCCTTGGCAGAAATAACAAGTTGACTCATTCTGTGAAGGAAGAAGTGGCGGGTTTGCAAGTTCTGTCTCAACTCAAGCAGAATGTCTGCTTCCCAGGGGACAAGGGTTGGATTCAGACAGCTGAGAATCTCATGAGAGTATGTTTTATCCTGTTAGATCTGTGGGAAGGAAATACTCAGCTCTTAGTATTAGTTTGGGGTAATTGTCAAATGTGCCATGTTCCTGGGAAAGTGCTGAACAGAAGCTTATGGCTGATGAGCTGGATTAAAAACACAGCTTTCTGGAGGGCAGATTTGAAACTAAAATAACTTAAAATAACCAAACTTTCTGTTTGAAAAGTGCCTGATGGCTTTTGCCTGTGTGAGTTCCCAAATATGTTTTCACAGTGTGCAAAGCAGGAAATCTTCCTTAAAAAAAGCCCCACAGCCCCAAGGAACAGGAGCTGAATCTTGGCCTGGTGGTCCTGATACACATTTGGAAAGACCTTAGGTACAAAACTGATGAGAATGAATTAAGCATCTAAGTTTAATAGAATTGGCAAAAAGCAAGTGGGAATGTCACAGGAGTAGAAGCAGTGGAAATTATACCCACCTGGCCTAGTAAAAAGAAGATGATGGGAAGAAGCAAGTTGTTCAGAGTTTCAGAAAGGCCAGAGGCAGGTACATCTGAACTATCTAAGGTCCATGTTTTCCTGTTTTAAAATGAATCCAGTGGTGAGAGAGACTGACCTTCCCAGGCAGATCAGCAGATTAGCACATTGAATCTGGATACTGGTCCAATAAGGCACATATATAATTAATTTTCTCCTAGGAAAATCTTGAAGGTTTTTCCAGTCAAAATGAGATTAGGGGGTATGCCTTAAGGAATCTCTTGCTGGCTTTTGCTCTGGATGTGTCTGTGGTGTCTTACAAACCGGAACTTCTGCTTCTGCCCTTCTTTGTCTGTTAGGGGGACGATGGCACCCTGAGAGCACTCAGGGAGGACTATGCTGCTGAGCTGCAGAAATTAATATCTGAGAACCAGCAGCTGCGGACGGAGCTGGCAGAGACCAGGGCGAGACTGGGGGTCACTGCACAGGAGTGCCCCGATGGACCTGAGGGCGTGGCTCAGCAGGGGCAAGGCAAAGAACCCAGGGAGGTACAGCACAGGTGAGTGACCCAGGGGTGCTGCTTCCTCAGGGTGAAGGAGGGCACAAGGTGTGGGGATGTGTGGGGTTTAATGGCATGCTGGGTCTCTCTCCAGTGCAGTGTGTGTCTGGGAGAAGACAAGGACTGTTTGGGAATCTGCCTTTATGCCTTAAGCAGTGCAGTAGCTTTGAGTCCCAGCTGGTTTGTGTTTTGCAAAGCCAGCAGTGTTTGTCTTTTGTCTGCCTTTGCCTCTCTCTGGAGCAGCAGTCTGTGCTGTTTTTGGTGACAGGATTAGATGTGGCCCAGGCAGCTGTGTTCCTTTCTGTTGCTGTGCTAAGATGTGCAGGCTGTGGTTTTTGGTATCTACAGTAGCAGAAGAGAGAGAGAATTCCACAGGGATTGACTGTGTGTCTGGAAGTGCTATGGAAACAAGTTTGGATAGCCAGGGCTGTTAGTAACATCTATGTTAATTGTTGCCTCTGTGTGAGTTTTGCTGTAAGAGAGAAACTCAGTTCTGTGCTCAAACCTGTCTTCCAGGACAGCTCAGGAAGCACAGCACGAGCAGGATGAACACACAGGGAGGACACATCTCCAGCCTGACAGGACTGCTCAGCATCATCACAGGGACCCTCTAAGGTGTGGGGCTGCTGAAACAGGAACTGTGACCCCTGAGATGGGTGAGCCACCCTCCCAGAACAGCAGCAAGAACTGCAAGGAGTCACGTGCCTGGCTGGGAGCAGAGTCTGCGCTTCATGTGGTGGATGAAAACAAAGATTTTGCAGATGAAGCATCTAAGCAGCCTGCCTTAAATCATCACAGAGAATCTGCTTTTTTGGTAAGCAGTTGTACAGGGGCTACTTGCTGCTCAGCAGCTGAAAATAGAGTTGGGTTCTTATCTGGCAAAAGGAGACAGGCATTTGAGTGCCTGACTTAACTGCATGTTGTGTGTGATCCTCTAAGTAAATCAAATGTTAAACAGGAAAAGAAAGCCACTGTTAGATGGTTAAGACTTGGCCAGGAGGATCCATATGTTGGCTCTTCAGAACTCCTTGGAGAAGAGCTTTGTGTTTGTGTGCTTGCTAAGTTAATTCCAGGAGCTCATGATGCTGTACCTCAGTGTGTACCAGGACCTGCTCGTGTCCCCTCAGAATTCTGCTTTAGCTTTTGGCTTGGGTCTGTAGTAGAGGCTCAGAGTGAATGTGGAGTGCTGAGTATGTCAGTGTTTCAGTCTCTGGGTGACTGGTTGCTGCACATCTGTAAAGCACAGGGTGAGTTTTACCCCTTTTCAAACAGGCTGCAGCAGTCAGCACACTGAACTTCAAGCTGCTTATGCTTGCTGATGACAAAGCCTGAAATCCCTGCTTCACTGCACAAGGGGAGCCTGCTCCTTTTCCCAGTTGCTGATCGTACTTTTTGTACTTGGAGCAGTGTTAGCACTTTCTCTGTCCTACCTCAGCTCAGTTGCTGAAGCACTTGACCAAGAGACAGAAATTTCCACTGAATCACTTTTTCCTGTCATGTTTAGGGAGGGGAGAATGCTGAGCACTGGTCCTTGCTCCACATGTGTTGCCCCAGCAGTGCTCAGAGCAGTTTCTCCTCTGTTTTTGCGTTGGTAGCAGTGACAACTATTAAACTATTAGCTATTTTTTGGAGGAGTCCAGAGAAGAGGCTCAAAGGCTAATGCACAGATAAGTGGAGGCTTGTCAGGTCTTGATGAAGTTTACTACCAAGAATAGGTCTTGATTTTTTAGGAGTAAAGTAGCTTGTGCACATACCCAGAAAACAGTGTTGGGAACTTAGGGAAGTGCAGTATTGTAAATGGAAACTCTTCGGGTTGCAAGATTGGACCCAAAGTGTGAAAGTTCCACTTCAGGGTCTGAGAACCTCTAGGGCTTGATGTTTAATAGGAGACAATGGGCTGCTCTTTATTCTGAGAGGTAGAAATAAGATTTCTAAGGAAATGCAGTTATTTCTCCTGGTGTTGACTGGGTCTCCCTGTTCATGGTCAAGCTGCAGTGTCTTTAAATCAATTCCTTTAGCACTAAGAGAGGAGAACTTTCATCAGTAGGCTGTCAGTAGTGGGGTGGGAGAGATTTGTTTGCTGTCTGTAGCCTTTTCTGTTTCCCTTTGTTCCTGGCTGTTGACAAGACCTGAAAACCACGAGACTCCAGGATTTGGAAATAACCAGTTATTTTCTGTTGCCAAGACACTGAGACAACTTGTCTGCAATGGAAAGCAGCCCCTTAGTAACCTTAATTTTTCACGTGCCAGCCCCTGTGCACAAGGCTTCTCTTCATCAACTTGTGTATTAAACCTGGTTTACAGTGTTGTTTTTGTAAGTTAATAACTTGTGGGTAACTGATGTGAGGAGCAGGAATAGTTGTTGACTGTAAAGGAAAGAATCTGGAGTAGTTTGTTGACCATTGCTGGCTGGACTGAAGTGCTGTTCTGTGAGCTGCAATGGGACTTTGGCCTGTCCTTGCCTGTGGGATTGTATCAGGAGCCTGTTACTTTGGGGAAAGAAGAGGAGGTATATGAAAGAAAGCAGAGATATTCCCAGTGGTTTAAAAAAACCAGTCTGGCAGTGCTTTCCCTTCCCTGGACCCAAACTCTGAGGTGCTCCCACACACAGGTATTTTTATGGAGACAAGGGGCAGGATGTAGACTTTGAGTTGCACCAACACCCAGGGCAAACTCCTTGGTATTCTGTAGTGACCTTCTCTAGCCCTGATTTTTTAGTAGTGATTTTTGGCAACATTAGCTTCATGCAGCGGTCATTGCTGGCTGTTGGGAGGGACATGATCTGCAATACAAGTATGAGACCTGCGTGCTTAGTCTGCCCACTAAGATGGAAATGAGCCCTCAAGGAGCATGTTCAGTGGTGTGGTTTGCAGATCAGTGGTGTTTCTGGCCAAAACTTGGAATGAAGGAATGCCTGATAATCCTTTTGTTTCCCTTTAGTGCCCCTTGCCTACAGCTCCTGTTGGATCCATTGCTGCACGATACCTGGAAGATGAAGAAGTGAGATCCCAGCACATCCTGGAGTGCCTAAATGCTCACATTGAGGAACTGAAAAAAGAGAGTGCAAAGATAGTGAGACGATTTGAACACCAGGAATAATGTTTGTTGTAGAATTGGAATGCTGGTTTCCTTATGTGCTTCCAAACTGTGACTGGAAAGGTGCCTATATCCAGCTGGGATTGGAGCTTGAGTGAGAGCCATGTGTCCTACTTGGAGCTGAATCAGCAGGATGGGAGTTGAGGAACAGGAGCTCCTGTCTACATGCTTGCTCTGATGAGGGGTGTTACACCACAAACACTTTAGTCAGCTTGCCATAGGTCAGAGACCTGCATCAGAGCTATGTGCTCACTCACAAAGTTGATGGTGTTTTTTAAAAGCAAACCATTTGCTAGTTTTTATGTAAAGTATTTAAAGTGTGTTTTATATGTGTAAAAGCATTGAAATAAATCAGAATGGCACACTCCTCTTTTCTTGTTTATACAAATACAGAAAGTGACTCTTGTGGTTTATATTCCCTTCTCATCAGGAACTTGGATCAACGCCTTTTCCATCACAGCATAGCTATGTTCTTCAAAGAATAGGCAATAAAATTCCTCTTTCCTTTAGGCTATCTGCGTTTTTTCCAGTTGTTTGCCCTTATTGGAATTTCTTAATATTTCCTGGTTCTTGTAGCTTCTGCCCTTTACAATTTGTGTAGTGTCCGGTGTCTTTGTCTTCTGTACAGAGTGCTTGAAGTACTGCAGAATAGCTGAGGAATGAGTGTCTGAATTCTGGATGTGGTCATGGCTCTTGGAAAAGAGTGGAACTGCTGCATCAAAATAGATCTGTGACCTCCTTTGGGGAAAATACTCAGACTTCCCTCAAGGGAGGTAAGCTGTTAGTGAGTGAACAGGACTTATTTCCTAGGGACTTGTTTTGTTCTGGGGTCTCTGCAGTTCTCCTGTGGCTGAGTCTTTATGGTCTTTGTTCGGGCAAACCTTGGGATGAGGACGTTCCATGTCCGTAAATTTCTGTTCCTTTCCATCAGCTTCACCTTGTGTTAAAGCAGCTTAATGCTGACAAGGAACAGGAATTCAAAAGCACCACATGTACACAGAGCCCAACCATTGTGTCAGACAGGTGAGGTCAGACAGGTGAGTTCAGCCAAGGAGGTGCCTGGCTGCAGACTGGGGCTGCACTTGGGCATGCAGCTCTGTATCCCAGAGATTAGAAATGTTCCAATTGAAAAGTCCTTGTGTTTTGGCTTTCTTCTGGGGTTCCTTGCATGAGGGTAAAACCTTCAAATCCATTCTGGATTCTCGTCATGCAGCCTTTGTACTGAGGTGCTGAACTGCCCTCAGCTGGAGCTGCACTGTGGTCATCCAGCACTGGCCTTGGATCCTCTGCAGAGCTGTCCATGGGTGCTTTGGAACATCCACCCTGTCTGTCTAGATCTCAAGTAAGGACTTGTTGGGCATGGGGCATTTTGATAAAATCTGAACAGCAGAATACACCAAACTGTTTTCTCTTTGCAGGTGAACCTATAGATGCACTGAGTGCCAGAACCCTTAGGGATCCCTCCCAGCCTTCAGTGAGGCCACCAATTTCATTTTTTAAGTGATACCTTGTAAATAGTATTGTATTTCATGCAGATTTTAGTTACTGAGTGTTGCATCATGCTGTTGGTGTTTTCAGCAGTTCAGGAGACATTTGCCTTGTTTCTGATGTGCTCTTCCATATCCCTTCAGAGATATTTGGCAGTTAGTGTTGGCAGAAGGGAAGAGCAAGACTGAAGATGATCCATTTGCTTAATTAGCAGCTATAATCCTACAGTTTTTTCAATTTCTAATACCTGTAATAAGCAGCTTCATTCAGGGAGTAGACTAAAAATTTGAACTAATCTCATCTAAAGTATCTGCAGCAGCGGAACTGCTGAGTTACTTCTCTGTGTTGGTGTGTGTGTACTTTGTCTCTCCCTCTTTCTCTCATTGCAGATGCCCCAAG